CAAGGCAAAACTTGGGCTCTGATACCATGTAAAGATTGTGCATATGGGCTCAACACCTTGTACTCTATTTGTTATAAAACTTTATTTGTTTGTTGTGTAAAAAAAAATTAATCTTCAAACATATTAATTACTATTGATCCAACGGTTTTAAAAACTTCAACAAAAAAAAAGGTATATATACAAACTACCAAAAAAAAAATTTTTAAATAAAAAGACTAATAAGATGAATAGTGCTTGCACTCAATCCACCCTGAGTGTCCTTACAAACTACCAATGGATGAATTCACACATGCAAGGGGAAAAACAACCAGTATGAAAGATTAAAATAGCAACCTTGAAATCTTTAACTCTAAATTTCAGTCAATACTGAAAAGATTTAACCTAGGAGAGATTAAATATTCTATCCAAATCTAATTCTGTGTTTTTGAAGACAACCATTTTAGTTAATTAACCAAATCATCGAAAATTTTAAATGCAGAATAGCATATACATAAATATATAAGTCCCTCTCTGAGAACTAACCAAAACATCTCTAGTGTCTAAAGCTAAATCCTTTCCCTATGAACAGTGAAGGAAACATTCAAAAGTTAAACAAAGAACCATTCGGGTTGGTTAATGGGTCTCTAGCTAGTCATGAACCATTATAACATAAAATTCTAAACAGTGATCATTCACTTTTTTCTCATTTTTTCTTGGGTCATCATTCTCTCAAATTGGGAGACCAGTTGTCGCACATTACCATCACTGTTGCTGGTGGCCTGGACTTCTCCACTTGTCGACACCAAGACAATTTCCAAATCAATTTTTGGTTGAGAACTTGAAGAAGAACCAGTTCTTTGAGAAGTCTCTACAGAAAAAAAAAATTGTCATATATTGCTCAGAGAGAAAACTTATTATAGTATAGTTATAGTTCAACTTTAAACTTAAATGTTAACTTGCTGTAAGGTCTTCAAATTGTGGCGAATGCATGGTTGCCGCTTGGGGCCATGCAACCTGTCTACAAAAATGGACATATAGAATGCAACAACATAACAGAGCAATTAGAATCCTTAAACCTTGATGCAAGAAAAAACCAAAATGGATAGCAATAAAAGAGAATACTGAGTTGATTAAACCAAAATCTATGGTCGGTCGAATCAATTCATTCAAACTCACTAAAGCAGCCAAACTAAAGACTAACAAGATGATATTGAACTGAGAAATGGAGTTAAGTAGAAAGGTAACCACACCACCCACTAGTACATTCAAGGATTGTAAAAAAGGTCTATGAGGTCCCCTTATGAAGGTTGAATTCCTAACCATTTCTAAATGTCTATACAATGCCACCACCAGTTGACCCAATGCCAAACATAAAACAAGCGTGATTTTATATCTTTCTGCTAAACTCCAAGTTTCTAACTCCATAAACACTCCAAGAAAAGACAGGACTATTAAGGACAAAAATAAAACCAGAAAAGGCAAACCCTTAGTATAGACGTCTGAAAATAGTTCCCTTATTCTTGAATCTTGGTTATCTATTTCAATTAAAAAAATATAAT